ACATCTCGATGGTAGCATCATTAATAACTGCGACCTTTATGTCATGCGAGAGGTTTTACGCCATATACCGACCGTTTAGACACCGAACGCTATCTGTGCGGGCATACTGCATAGTTATTATAGTAGTGTGGACACTAGCCTCCTTGGATACCATATTTTATATAGCTAATTTGGGTAAATATTATTCTCTCGTTTGGTTTTCAATTTGCATTGTTTCAATTATCCTCATTTGTGGTTGTAACATCGCCATAAGGAGAAAGTTTCAAGAAAGAATTGTCGCAAGCTCGCTTCAGCAAACCAGAGACTTACAAAGTAAACGCTTGACAAAGACTTTGCTGTTTGTTTCTGCCCTTGCTTTGTTTTGCTGGCTACCTTTTGCTTCTGTTTTCAGTTTAAACGTTCTACTCGATCTTCACGATGTAATACCGTGGAGGTGTTTTGTAGCTATCAGCTTTGTTAATGTTACCAACGCATTTGTAAATCCAGTTGTATATGCTTATAGAGTACCGGAGTTTCGACAGGCGTTAGCTCGGTGCTGTAAGATAAGGCGAATTGTGAACACTGAAGACTTTGAACTTAGAGTTGCCAACACAGCAGCTTTGACGACACCAACACGGCTTCGAAACCTCCAAACATTACAAGATATCTCTAATCGTGACCTACAACAACTACATTTTGAAGAGGAAGTACTAGATACCAAACTGTGATGAGCCGAAGACTGAGAAAATATAAGTGCTGTTTTCAAACTGTCCCAGAGCTCTAAACTTTACTTGAAGATCAGCCGAAGAAATCAAGGTAGAAAATGTTAGTGTTGAAGAAACCGCAACATGACTGTTTGTAGTTGAAAATGGCGAGGAGTGGCAGCTCAAAAACCTTTGGATCTTTCTGAAACAAACTGGTACTCGACCCACTGATCTCCTTGTGTTTCTCGTTGCCTGTTTCATCCCTCCCAAGAGCAACAGCTCGGAAAAAACAATTTTTATCTCCTCTGACAACGACTTCTCTTCTTAGAGAACGTATATTTTCAACCGCCGTAATTTGTTTATCAAAAACGTCAATAAGTACGAAAACAGGCTGTACACACTTAAATACAACAAAAAGACTGTACTCGGAACGAAAATACCTCAGAACGCACTTTATGTGACCGCTGGTTTTTTGACTAAGTGAAATTAAAGATATGATTAATTAAAGATTAAATAAAAACTCCGAAACTTCTTCAAATTCCAAACAAAGGAGTTACAAATTTACGGGAACGAAAGCTCCACACAACAAACTAAAGACTCCGCGAAAACAAACTAAAAGTACGCGAAAAATGTCCACGTCAGTTTTCCAAATGCAAGGTTAGAGTTCTTTGGCGTGACTGGCTAATTCGTAATTCTAATTAGGAAGAGAAAAATTGTAACTTGAAATTTAAAAAAAGAGATTTTCTACAGAAGTAATTATGTGTGATGTCTCTCTTTTGAGCGTGACAAACAAAAGACATATACGGTCACGCAGTTTGGTACCCACTAGCCTACGTGTAGCCGTACCCTCCCCTTCCAAAGTGAAACGGAAACCTCGCCTCCGTTTCACCTGGGGGGGGGGGGAGGGAAAGGGTACGGCTACACGTAGGCTACTTACTCACTGGTTAATCCAAAGAACAAATATTTCTCTTAAACACAGGATAATCAGAACGTCATTCAATGCGACCACAACCAATATCAAACATGTAATATAGATAATCAAACTGAATGATTCACAAATATATGACGAAGTGTTTCTCGGAAAAGCAGGATGTCTATGACATCACAGGATGATCAAATCTCAGGTCATGAGATTGAAGGAAATACATTTTTCTGTCTTCTCTTGTTGGTCGTCTCCTTACGCATAGAATACGCTCGCTTTGTCACTGGTAACGATGTGTAAGACCAACCAAGTCAAACATGTGGAAGTTAAACAGATGTGTCACAATTTAATGACCAATGAGTGTAGATGGAAAACACCAAGAGATAAAAAGAGGGTGCGGATGGTTAGAGTTGTTGTGGTATATTTCACAGATTCTGAAGGGAAGAAGACCGACACCGTCTCCATGGAATGCTGTGCGGAGCATCAGGAAAATGCTGTAGACGCGCTGATTGGACGCCACGGGCTGAGACATTAAAAAACGGATGCAGCTATAAGGACTGAAGTTTTAAACTGTAAATCCAAGTATGAAAGACTAGACAGACCCTCACTGAACTGACTAAAAGAGTTGATCAAATCCTAACCATTTGAACTCTAGGCATGTAATTCGTCTTGTGATTTAATAGCATGAGTATAAATCGATTGTAAGAGGAACTTTGACACATGTGCGGTGAATAAAATGCTCATAGCTGAATCACGTTGAACCCAATGCAAGATAAAGGGACCTTGAACAGTCGGGAAGGCAACGCCGAGGAAGATTAAATTTTTAGTTAGAATTTCCGTCTCTCACAGCATCAATTTCAGCATAACGCATTAGGATAGATGTGCAGCGTCGAGTCAAAATGGAAACTTGAATAACATGCCGTCAAGGTTTCTGTTTTCAGATCACACAAAATTCGATGATTGTACGTTGTTTTTTTTTTTTTTTTGCAGAGTACGGCTCAAAAATGTACGAAGGTTTTAAGAAACATTAGAAAAAATGAATGTTCGCAAGTTCATAGCGGATAGGAAATCACTCTATTGGCGAAACATAACAACAGGCCTTCGTTGTTCAAAGGCTGGATATTGCTATCCACCGGATAAATCACTGTCCATTGGATAAATGTTGACAAAGCATACTATACTATCAGCTGGATAGCAAAATGGATAGCGTTATCCCGAGCCCTCGTACAACCAAGGCCAGTTGCTTCCGTTACGCGGAAGTTATAAATTTTGTACGACATTTCGGCGAATAACTCATCAGCGGAAAACCCTACAGACCTGAAACTTGAGTAAATTTTTTATTGATCAATATTCTACCATAGCTCACTCTCTTGGCGTCACGCATCCAATGGATTTGATATTAGATTTCGATTGCGTGAAAGTAAAAACCTGCAGGAGGAAGGAAGCCTAACCGCTTTCTAAAGAGGCTCAGAAGCGAACAAGATAGACGAAGATCAAGAAGAGGACGTGGAATTTAACGTTACCAATTTCAACTCAGGGCAATCAGTAAGACAAAATCTGCCACAAAACCGTCAGTTAGAATCACTAGGGGAGAAAGAATCGGTTCCACGCGCAGATGTCGACCTCAGGAGGAAGTGGAACTCAAGAAATATGAGCGAGAGAAGCTGTTGAAACAGTGGAACAAAGCGAAGAAATCTCTGGCCCACTGAGTAACGAAAACATCGCTTCTTGAATCTCAACTGAACAGAAATACTCAAGAGCTTGAACAAATGCGAGGTCAAATACTTGCAGATTCAGTCTTAGTCGAGACTAGAAGTGCTTTGATCAGAAATATCGATTTAGTTATGCAACGTGCTCTTTATATGACCGCGATAACCTGTGGCGATTGCCTGAATATTCAAATAATAACCTTTTTTTTATTATGAACCTGCCAACCGCAGAGGCGAAGCCATTGGAAAAGGGGGTTTTTGAATCTCGTTCTTGATCGTTCGGGGTCTTGGAATATTGGTCTCTGGAACTAAATTTTAATAACACGAGTTTATCTCTAAGCTAAATGGATGAAGGATGTTGTTGTTTACATAATTCTCAAACAACTTTCTTACTTTTCTTCGAGGTTTTATAATAGGTTTATCCTTACGCTGAATGGATGAAGGTTGATGCTGTTTACATAATTCTCAACCAAATTGTTTGCGTTATGTTTTACTTTACTATCAGTATTTCTTTTGTACATACTATATGGATATTTAATATAAATTTCAAATTGCAACGTTTCTGAAAACAGGTGTATATATATATATATATTATTACAATTTAAAAATGTATATTAAATATTTACACCTATTCTTTCCTTATCAGAAAGGTAATTGACAATGCATGTATCTTTCACATCCAAGGAAACAATACCTCTTTTGTTATTTTGACAGCAGCTATTGTAGTTTTCTTTTGAAACACTGTCCCTTTAATTTATTTTTGGAAACACCTTTTTAATGGAAAAAGAAAAGGTGTGTATATTTAATATAAATTTTCAAATTGCGATGTTTTTGAAAACGGGTGTACATGTGTATACTGTTGCAGTACTTTTCGCAGTATAACCTTATTTGCAATTCTTTGAGGGAAAAGGTTTGTTTAGTTGAGGAAAATTCAAGCATGTACACTTCAGTCAAGTTTGATTTTATCATGAAAACTGCATGTCCTAAGAACGAATAGTGTATACATTTGACCAAATCAATAAACAGAAACAACTGACCGGACTACACTTTCTACCGCTAGTTTCTTTCTGTCACTAGTTTCAAGTCATTTAATCGTAAAGAATATACTGTATCTATCTAAATCAGGAACTTTTTTACGATATGAAGAAGTCAAGTAAAGAAAAATAGCAACATTCCCATTGAACCAACTTTTTGCGCTTCAGCTAGGAATCTACGCTGTAACAGTCAGAGAATCTGGTTGAAATCACATACAAGTTTGATTGAAGAAAAGCTTACACCTGCAAAAATCTGATTGTGGGCACATTTAATATGTGAAATGAAAACTTCTTTAAAACAAGAATTTTTTTAAGGCTTCAGTTGTCTACAGAATGGAAGTTGAAAAATTCGACCGGAAGTGATCCGCAAATATCAGCATCTAGTTATCAGTCCTAGTTATCATATGCTACAGAGGCTGGCACAGTCCCTGGCAAGGATGCAAATCAAGTTGGTGACATGTCCTTTTTCGTATTTTATTGTACCTTGCTTTGCAAGCTCTCACCTGTAACACGCAGTACACCTCTGGAAGTGTGTTCTGAGCAGGATCAACTGGACCTAACAGGCAGAAGATGTGATGCGCAGGTGCATCAGATAACAACTGTAGATCATTTGGAGTGTTCTGCAAATGAAAGACAATGAATTTAGTGCGAACTGTCATACCACAATGGTCTGATAATAGGGAAGCAACAATTTCCTCTTGCAAATGAAAGAGACGAGGAAGAAAGAACTTGTAGACCAAGGGTAGAGCTGATTACACTGATATCATTCTTTCTTGGCAAAATATCACCCCCCTGAAGTGCAAACATAACCACTGAGGGCCAGATGTGCCCCTAGCAATGCTACAGAGGCCATGTGAATAAAAAAAAATATAACAGCAAAAAAACCTCAGAACTAATATGACAAAAATGGAATTTAACAAAAGAAAACAAAAGGAAAACAACCATTAATAATAAAAAATTTGGTTGAACATTTTGTAGGAAAAAAAAAAAACATGACAGTCGACTTTAGTCAGTAGGAGAAATGAACAAGATTAAGGACCCATTTAATTTGCTATGTTATACCCACAAGTGACATGCATTGGTTCCCCCATTCATACAGGAATGACAAAAACTGCTCTACCTCTGCTCTAATCTGAGCACTGATGTACACTGTACAGTCACATTCAAATAAAAGATCAAAGAGAATAGTTAATTACCTTGTAATGCGAAGCTACATAAAGAGCCATGAGCCTTTGCAAGAAGACTTCAGACGCTTTGTGATAAGAAAACAGTGTATCCCGATTGACGTAATATCTAACAAAAAAAACCAGTTAAGGGCTGCCAAGGTGGAACACATCTACTGTTCAAGTAAAAGTAAATTTCAGTAACTAAGATGAGAAAAAAAATGTAGGCATCATGATCAGCCTGTTCCAGGCTTTAAGTCAGTGTTAACCCTATAAACCCTAAGAGTGACTAACATCTTCTTTTTCCTTACAACATCACCTCTGAATCAAACATCCAGGTCATGGGAATAAAGCAAACAATCACCACCTTAATAAACTCTTGATTTTTAAACAAATTCTCCTTGTTAGTAACTTAGGAAATGTATAAAGAGCAGTATGGAGAATATGCATACTGATTTTAGGGTGTAAAGGGTAAAACAGAACGAAATAGTAAACAGCACAACAGTAGCAGTGGAGTGAAAAAGTGAGGGAAATTTGGTTCTTCCTCTGGACTCAAGCCTCACTTGTTTGTTCACTCCTCTTTCACCATCTGCCTTTTACTTAAAAAACAGTTGAAACAGGCTAAGACAAAATAGACACATAAGTTCCCTTTTCTCATAAAAATCTAGTCTCCTACTTAAGCCCACCCTTTCAATCATCTTTTGGTGTCTTTTCCCCTAACTTTTCTCTTCTTCTTTTTCTGGGGCTGCCCCTAATATGATAGGACTTAAAAAACACAATTAAAAATCTTGTCATTGCTACAAAGGATACAAATCACAGTTTTCAGGCAATGGACAACCGCTAGACAGCCTCTGTACCACAGTGGCATCCAAACAGAGAAGATGGTTTAACCATCTTTCCACCTCATCACCTGGTGCATAACGAATGGACTCATTCAGAGTGATTTCATGAAGACTGCGGCCCAGAGGTGTGGAACTGTTGCCTTTACTGGAAGGACCATGAGTTGCACTCTGTTGTCTAAGCTGTTGGATCAGTTTTAAGGAGAGAGATCGGCCTGTTCCTTCATATCTGAAAGTGAACAAATGCAAGTATGCCACATAAGTTTAGTGTTCACCCATGCTGATAAACCAAGAAATTTTAAGAGACAAGTAATTCCACACATTTGCAATTAGTGACAGTACCCCTCATCCTGTCCTCCTACCACATGCTCGTTTTTCTTCAAATTCAAAAATGACCTCATTGCGACCATATCATACACAATTCTAGTATTTGCCTAGTCACCCCTTACCCATTCACTGTTGATGACAGAAACACAAGGTATGGCCCCATGAGATCTTTAACCAAAGGCAGTGGAATGGCAGCAGCCTCATCAATAACAACCAACTCTGCTTGGCCAAGTTTGTGGGCATCTGATGGGTGAATGTACTGAAAAGGAGAGTTCGTAGTTAGATTTTTGTGGTAGACCACTACAGTTGGTTTACTATTCTGATTGTGCGTGAGAGAGTAGCCCTGAAATGAATTGTTGTCAACTACAGTGATTATTATGTTTGGGGAGCCTGAGTAGAAATCCCCATCCAAGTCAAATACAAGTAATTATCAAATGACCTGTCCAGCCCAGTGTGCTCCTTCATAAAAAACATAGACAAAAACAGTTTATGATGCATGAGTCTGTGTGCAACAGCTCAGGCTAGATCATAAAATAGCAGTATGCTGCCCCTCCCCTTCCTGCCTCCCCTTCATGGCTTTGATCCTCTCTTCTTTCAGCTTGCATCTCGTAGGGCCTTACAACTTTTTCTGGCCCTGTTCATGTCATTGTGTGCAAACCCTCCTGCATGCATTTTTGTCCAATGCTTTCAATAAAAGCATATCCAGGGCTTTACAAGTCTTATTATATAAGTCCATATACAACATTTTTATACTATTATTGGGGGTTTGTCAATACAGGTAGCACTGATTGGAATGAGAAACATTCCTCTTTTAATGGATACCTGGATTGTTTGTCGATGGTCCCTGAAAATATTCACTCTTACAACTGCTTTGTTGAATTCTGGATTGGTTGACTGCACCAGCTCATAGTCAAGATGTTCCTGTCAATTATTACAGACACTTAATATACCTTTTCTTGTTAACATTGAATAACATGTATATCTTAATCTATACAGATAAAAATGAATCAATATTGCAACAGATTTCATTTTCGAACCTGGAATTCCAGGGCATCAAATCCTTTGAAAACAAACTCAAACAAAGTGTGCAAGTTTTCTGGACTTGGTGATGTCACAAACATGTTTGAGTACCTGCAACATCAAGAAAAAATGGTAAATTTAATTTGTTAGTCTTGAAGAGAAGAAAATAGTCTGATTCCAATGAAAGGTAAGTTCAAGATATTAACATCTAACATTCTACCCTAAAGATCTCACCATATCTCTTATGATTTAATTTCTTCACCCTTCAAATCCTAAGAGTGACTGGCACCTAATTTCTCCTTACCATATCATCCCTGAATCAAACATTAACATCATGAGAATAAAGGAAAAGATCCCCAACTAAAGAAGCTCTGGAATATTAAACAAATTCTCCTTGTCTGCACCTTAGTAAATGTTTAGAGAACAGTATGGAGAATATACATACTGATGTTTGGGTGTAAAGGGTTAACTTTAATAGCATACCCAAATGCAACAGCTGAAGCCAATGACAGTCCTAAGGCAGCTGATTTTCCACGACCGCGGGCAGCTGTTAGTGTTACTGTGCTTCTTAAGGTCTTTTCTGATATCGCTTCAATGAATTTGAGGACTGCTTTTGCCTAGGAACGTAACCAAAAGTATAGTCAATGAAATGTTTATTTGCTTTTTTCTTTTTTTTGGGAAAAGTACATTAACTGTAAATTTTTGTAATGTAGGTGTACAAGTAAATGTACTCTTAAATGTAAATCAGTTGAGGGAGTTTTTGTCTATTTTTAAATTGTCTCTGACCATATCTTGCAATCTTTTTTAAATCATCCAGTCCTCCAAAGCAGTGGATTTCACAATGCTGTTCTTAAAATCTATCTTTAGTCACATCAATTGTTCATCAACTGGGGCAACCAAAGCAAGGCTTTCTGCACCCCTTCAGAGCTCTTAAAAGCACATGCACATGTGCATGTGCACAGTATGGGTTTGCAACTAAAAGACGTCACCCTAGCCTGTTCCCAACGTATGGGTCAATTGTTGTCATTCAACCAGATTTAGGAAAACTGTTATCAGGGCAGAGGCTCTTTATGCAGAAGTTATTAAGAGTCTGAATTCTAAACATTTTCACGATTTCTGATCACAAATTTGAATGAAAAACACAAAGTCAATAAACACGCATTTGAAGAAACTGACCTGGTCAAGAGTGCGGCAACAGTTAACAATACCTCCAACAGGTTGTGTGTCTTGCAATGATTCTTTCAAACTCTTCAGCTCAATTTCATTTGCAGTCATAGATTCTTCCTGCAACAAAAGAAATGGCATATGCATGCATGTTCACTAGCCTGTATTGCATCTGCATAATTTTTCCATCTAAATTTGCTTTAAGATGGCTTGATTTTATTGGTTTGACTCCTATTAGCAAGTCTGCCTCACCCTGCTAAATGACAATAATTACATACTTACGATGTGTCTAAAATACAATACTGTAACGCTCAATTGTAATTTGACACCCCATTGACACTTGATCCTCTATCTACAATTCTCTATCCTCAATTCTCAAAACCTTTGGGAATCTAGGCTTCAGTCAAGTTTCAGGATATTTGAGACCATTCAAGAAATAATAATTAAGTTTTAAGGCTTTTAAGACCAAAAATTGCAGGAATGTTCACCCCATTAAATTTGAAGCTTCTTTGTTTTATTAGTCTACTCTGGTAGGAAAACAGCATAACTGCATTCATTGTGCTCAAGTCCTGTATATTTTTTAGTTTCAACCACAACATGAAAAACCATAAACTACAAAACTACCTCTCCACTGAACTTAGAATACAGGAATGATAATCTTTACCTTTGATTTTGGTGGTAATGCAGTTATTGATAGAGTATGAGAAGAGATGGGAAGAATGTTTAACTGATCATCAATAACCATGCAATTCTTATTTGAGGTCAGCGACAATATGAATCTGTTGAAAGCAAAAAAAGAGATAACTTTCTCACATAAAAGGCAAATTTCAAGATACTGAAAGCTCTGTCTTCACATATAAATCAACATAAGTGCTTTACAGGATTTATGCATCAACCCTTTACCTTCTAAGAGTGATAAACATCTTATTTTCCTTTAAGTACCATTCTTGATTTAAAAATTAGGGTTGTGACAAACAAAGTGCTAACCTTTCATTAAATCTTCCAATGACATCTTGATGAGACTCTGTTCTGTATCGAGAATGTACATCCTAAGAAACACATTTCATTTACACTGTAATTCAAGTATTTTTAATCTATGTGAAGCACCTAGTGTTTGACCTTCCCCTCAGCACAATACAATAAAGAAGCTAATTTGATATACTGACTGCATTTTGGTGGCTGGATTTAAAAGACAGAATTTTGTTTATTAAAAATGGCTAAGTGTCCCTATCACTGTCTCCTTCAAGTGTTTTAACCCTCTAACTCCCAAGATCTGATTGTTAATTCTCCCCTGTAGCTGCTACAAATTTCCTTGTAAATTAGTTATAAGAACTTGGTGCTAGATCAAGATAGCAGCTTCTACCTGATAAGTTTGAATATTCTCATTACCTGTTTGCTGAAGAATGTATGGATATTATAGGGAGAAGTTTCATGTTAGTCACTTCTGGGAGTTTAAGAGTTAATTATCATTTACTTGGCAAACTACTTTCACATTATAATTATATCTCCTCAGTACATATGTGACCCTCCATGGGAAAACGGACACTAACGCTTTTCCATTAAACGGTCTCGAAAAACGGTTGTAAACGGATAGTAAACGGTTAACTCGAGCGTTTAAACGGATGCCATAACCGCTTAAACAGATGGCAAAAAATTTAAACAGTTGACCAAAGTCCAAAAACGGATAGCTTAGGCCTTCAAACAGTTGACCAAAAATAAAAACGGATAGCATGAAACATTAAACGGTTGACCAAAGTTCAAAAACGGATGGCTCACACTGTTAAACGGTTGACCAAAAATAAAAACGGTCAGCCCGAAACATTAAACAGTTGACCAAAGTCCAAAAACGGATAGCTTAAACCGAGAAACGGTTGACCAAAATCGACAAACGATGAGCTTAAAATTAATGTTGCATGATGACATTCCTATCCTAGCAATAAACAGGAAGTTTGTTATCAGGGACCTATGCAAACTGTTAATATACACTGCATATTAACTATAAACTACTATATTATTGCCTGGATAATTATGAGATGTAGAAACTTAATCCACAGAATTTTACCATGGCCAATGTGTACAGCTGTTGCAAAGATGACATTGTTCTTAGCAGAAGTACAATCAAACCGCCTCCCTCAACTGTCTCAACAGTTCGGGCCAGTAGATTTGGTGTTAAAGCTTCAAAATCCTGTACAAGACATGATATGGAAAAAAAGGAGCATGGAACAAAAACAGACTTCAATACCTGAAAACTAACTTGTAAGTGTTTCTCACTAATAGCTTAGAGGGGGGGAGTAAGTTATTATGGACCAGCACCCCACCTAAGAGAGTGAAAAAACTCCTTCTAAAGTCAATCAATGGTAGGAATCTGCATGGCTAAGCTCTTACCAACAGCTAGGAACATAAGTTGACTTTGCCTGACTACCCTTTCATTCTCAGGATCTCATTTTGTAATTCTTCTACTGTTTCCCATAAAACTATCATGATTTTAGTTCAAAGAATTGGGTATTGGATCAACTAATAATCTCCCAATTTTCATCACTTTTCTTCTTAATGTTGTATCAATATTGTTTGGAGAAATTCTGTCTTAGTTACTCATGGAAATTGTAGGCCTGGGTTAATCTGGTAA